CAGTTTCTAGATCGGTGGATTGAGATCCTCGTCTAGCTAGTTCGTCCGCTCTTTCATTACCCAAGATGTCACAATGTCCTGGTACCCAACACAACCGATAGCTATGGTTAAGTTTTTCCAGAGCTGTTCTACACTTGAGGACGGCTTCGGATTTGATGTAGCAAGATTTTATGGCTTTAAGAGCCGCTTGACTATCCACAAAGATAGTCACCGGTTCAACGACCTCAGCATCCAGGTTTTTTATCAATTCCGCTGCCTTCCAGATCGCGAAGATTTCAGCTTGGAAAACACTACAATTACTATCCAGCTTGTAGGTCAACTCAAGGCCTAGCCTTTCACAGTAGACGCCTGCCCCAGTACCTTCTGGGGTTACATGAATCGTTTTTTAGCTTTGTGTTAAATTGTTATTATGGAAAAATAATTATTCTATACGTTTCTCGAGTAGTATAAATTATGTTGTTTTGTGTAACTTAAATGGCCTTTTTTGCTTTGTTACTATGCTTAATAAATTAAATTAAAAATTAAATGCAGACACTGAAGAGATAAAAACTACAAAATCTTGAATGTCACATGAGTGGCCCAGAAAATCCTTCGCAAAAAGAGGACAGGCCAAATTTTAAAATTTTGAAAGTGCAAAAATAAATTTTGATATTCCGTATTTATGTAAGTCGCTTAAAGTTCAAAATGTTCACACAATTCCCAGAGTTTTGGCATTATAAGCAATGATGTTTAAAGTCATGTATATTTGAAGTCGCGTGAGTGACAAAAACCGGGGGCTATTAATTCCTTTTACCACTGATAGTACTCCTAAATTACGACAAAGTATTAAGGGTGAATTGTAAAAAATGTAATTGTGTTTGATTTATTTAACATTTTAAGTTTTATTTCGCCTCCGAAAGTCGTGTAAGTGACCTCCCACATACTATTTTGACTGTTACATCCGAAGTTTTTTTTGACTTCTACAATTTCCGTGGATATAACATGGTCCGAAATGAAAAAGTAAAATTGTAGCTTCCTTAAAAATAATAAGATGATTAAGTTAAAAAAACAATGTTTTATTTTAATATAGATCATTGTATGCATGTTAAATTGGTATATGGGCATTTCCGAAAAAATGTAAACCAAAGTCGATGAATTTGTTTCTTTAATTGTGCTTTATTACGTGAAGTAACGGCAAAAAATTCAAAGAAATACAACATTTGGCACTCTTTCATCTTGTTATTAGCATAAATACTAATTTAAGGACTAAAATGGATACACTACAGAATAAACTGCAAAATCAAAAAATTCGCGTGAGTGACCGAGAAAAATCCTTCGCAAATAAAGGATATGCCAAATTTTGAAAGTGCAATAATAATGCTTGATATCTCTTTTTCATGTAAAGAATATTATTAGCAATGGTGTCTAAAGTCATGTATATTTGAAGTCGCGTGAGTGACCGCTCTTTTGAGGCTTTTATTTGGAAATAAAAAACCGGAGGCCCTAAATTTTTTTACCACAAGTAGTACTTCTAAAGTTCTACAAAAAAGTATTAAGAGAGAATTGTAAAAAAAATTAAATCGTTTTTGATTTATTTAACATTTAAAGTTAATATTTCATATTTATAAGCCCTTTGATCCCCGAATTTTTTTCCGCAATTTTAGAACAAATTTTTGTTCACAGATTTAATGGACATGCATAAAATTTGACATCGCTACATCCTTGCATTCTGGATATACAGTACATTCTTTTGGAAAAATTAAAGTCCAATATCAAGAAAACCAAATGCAAAATCGGCTGAAAAATCATTTTAAATTATTCTATATATGAAGTTTTACAAGAATCAAAAATAATTATGATGGCAGAATACATACAAATTGAATGCGAAGCGTTTTAAATAATTTGGACTGTATACACGAATTAGTAATGTACACAAATTTACCCTCTTCTCTATATAGAAAAGTTAATAACTTTACCATTTACATTTTGAATTTTTTTGATTTTTCTTTTGATATGCATCATCCATAATCAGGTCTTGACATATGAGATCCAAATAACATATATCTACTAGCTGCATATTAAGTATAAGCTATAAAACATTTTGTTGCCTGTGGGCAACATTGGGCCACAAAGGGTTAAGGTCATATAAATATACAACTACATTGCTCTTAATGTATTGTGTATATATTAAATGGTTTACATATTAAAAAAAGAATCTCTATTTTTAGATATTTTAATCATGTGATCAGTATTTACTTCGTACAGGATTGCCAAAAAAAACTGAACGATTTAAAATGATTACATTTTAATATATATATATATATTTTTTTTTTTTTTTTGTCTTTTGCAGGTTATTTACTGGTTTTTGAGATAAATCATGGCTACATATGATGTGCAGAAACGCGTCAAAATCATTGAATTTTTTATTCCTTAAATTAAATATTTAAAAACATAAAAAAATCAATAAACACAAAAAATAGTTATTTTTAATCCTTCAGTATTTTTTGGGCCACCCTGTATATGCATATACGTAAGAAGTGGGCTTTGCATTTGATTTTTCTTTCAGATGTTTCTGTGGTTATCGGTATCGTTATTAAGATTTGTAACAATTTATTTTTATTTTGAAATTGATTTTCGTCACATTTTACAGTCACATCAATTGGATTAGATAGTCGGGGATCTTTCGCTTTCCACAAAGTTACCCACAGACATTGTTCATAACATAGTATGATTTTTTAAAATATTTATATTAAAGAATTCCATTTGTGATTCGTATATTTCCCTTTGAAATTCGTAAAATTACATTTGAAATTCAAAGAATTCCATTTAATATTAATATTTTCAATTGCAATTCGTAACAATTCATTTCAAGTTCATACATTTTCTTTGTATGTTACCAATAATATTCGAAGTTAAAATTAAATGTTATGAATAACAAATGAAATATTATGTATTTCAAATGAAACGTTATGAATTTCAATTTCAAATGCAATCCTTTGAATTTCAAATGGTAGTATAGGAATTTCAAATGGGAATAACTGAGGTAACATTTTACAGCGAAGCTTAATTTACAAACGCAATACTATGGGTAGACAAACAAGTAAATTGATTCCGGAATCAAATAAATCCGAAATCGAAATAAACAACAAATGAAAGTGCAACGTTGACATGTTTTACAATAAAAACACTAAGTATTCAGTCTTCGGTGGAAAGTAAAACATTACAAAGTAAAGCTGATACCGAGTGGCGGCGACAACAACAATCAACATTATTCATAACAAAGTATAGCTGATCCTGATATACATTTTATGTGGAGGAAATGCATACTTTCCGAGATATGTTTCTTGAAAGTTCGAAACATATTTTGTTTAAAACAAACGTTTTACTATTGCCAACAAGGGAATATCGGTATCATTTGAGAGCAGTATCAAATAAAGAATTTTTAAGTAGACATTTTTTAAGCTATTTTTTTTTAAATAGACTTTCTCCTATGGAAAGGTGGAAAATTTGACTACGCGATTAAAATTTCCTTTGTATCAAAAGTTTTCTTATACAGTCGACCTTCGGGCGGGGATTTATGACTTTCTCCTATGGACAGATGGAAAATTCGGCTATGCGATTGAAATTTTCTTTTAAATAATCATGTTTATCTAAATATCCGCTAATATTACCATAATAGGTCCATAGATGTCGAAGTTATGAGCATATGAATTCCGGAACTTCAGAGGTCCATATCTCGGGAAATATGGATTTCCCCATGAATGTCTTATATATAAACTCAACTTGAGACCTTAAGACTTTCACCAATGGACAGGCGCATACATGGCTACGCAATCCAAATCAGTTTCTAAGTGCAATTTCAGAATCAAATAAAGGGTTTTTAAGAAGCCGGCTTTCGGCCGGGGATTAAGACTTTTATCTCTGGACATGCGCATACATGGCAACGCAATTTTTTTCAATTTTATGAAGTATTTTATACATTATGATATATTCTTCATCTAGCTTTAAAACACTATCCATAACCTTTTAAATGATACCCATATTGCTGGAAATAGTAAAACAAAATATTCTCCGACCTTTCAAGGGAGAAATGCATACTTCTCGGGAAATATGCATTCCCCCCACATAAAATATATACGATCCGAGTGGAGCCCCTAAACTTGACTTAAGCCCCCATTAATTGGCACAGCAAAATATCAATGTAGTACCTGGTCGGCTGTTACAGCCGGAAGCATCCCATACATTGTCCTACGGAAAATTGCCTACGACCCAGGGGGAATTTTAAACAAAATCAATCTTAATTTATAAAACAATTCGAAAAAGTACATAATACAGAAATACCTACATTTATCTATCTTTATTGCCACAAATCTAGAAACAAATATTTTGAACAATAAATGTTGGAACATGTAAATAACTATGCAGTTGGACATATTTTAGAATCGTTTAGTAAAAATTTCATAAGCGGTGATGGACTAAACATTTTAATATGCAATACAGAATATTTGAAACTCTTTTTAATTATTTGCCAGAAGTACACAATTCTGTCACCTGATGAACAGGTCGTTTTTTTTATAAAAGCAAAATTGTTAAACATTCAGCTGAAATAAAGTAATAATGTGCATTAAATATTTTTTTTTATTTTTCGCCACAATGCTAATTTTTTCCAAATGATATAATTATAGGTAAGAGTTGTCGAAGAATATTTTTTTTATTTTCACATATTGATTTATAGATATGTAACAATCAGCTGATTGATATAATTTGTATCACTTTCATATAAATACATATGTATATATGGATATTGTAGCAAATAAGGTCACCATTTACTCATAATAATAAACACAGGATAGACAAAAAAAATACTAAGGTTTGTTTGTCATTCTTTCATCATAAAATTATGCCATATGTCATTTTGTTAATGAACTAATTAAGAAAATAGATTTTTTTGCTACATCGAAAAATAATTGTCTACACAAGTAAAAACATATTTTATATTTATAAAGCAAACACATTCTTACGGTAAATGGAATTCCTTCTACAGAACCGATAGCAAAACACCGATCGCCAGCATTACAGGCACCACTTAAAATTTGATGGCAATTCATGGTTATACCATTCTAACCAATTAAATGATATATTTTTTATTATAACTTCAAGAATTTAATCAAACAATTATTTTATTTCTGATTGGAGTTTTACACAATACTGAATTGAAATAGAGTTGCCCAATTAGGACTAAATCTGCTGCGTTTTTGTACGATGGTAAACTGAACGTAGGTAGAGTACAGAGTTTACACGTATATGTATAACGGCGTGTAACAACTTTATCTAGCGTTCACACCAAGGTAAATATAAGAATGTAGCCGCATCTGCATTTTATTACAACAAACAACTGCTGTAGAACAAAATGGCTTTTTTCACAAATTCAATTAAAAAAATAGATAAATAAAAATATACATCATTGGTAAAAAGAAATTTATGATTTGTGAATGAATCGATATCTAAATCATATTCCCAACTCGATTTTGAAAAAAATTGATTTCATTAATTTTTCGCGTTTTTGGTAATATCAGGACGTAATTATACAAGGTAGTCTCATGCAGACGTATGATTCAAATTTTTTTGTAATTTTACTTTTGACAACATTCAGCTTTCAAATATGAAATGGGAAAATCTCCTTCGAAATCTATACACAACATATGTTCAGTGGCAAAAATACCAAATTATTAACATTGTTTAATACTTTGAAATTCCATTAGCTATATCACGAGAACAATGTGGAGTTTTCAACACATGAAACAAACATTTTATGGTATTCCCTATTGGATTTTGGGAAGAAATGTCAAACAAACACAAACATTTGTTGCGTATATTTATTTTATTTATTCACCTCAAGCTGCCCTACCTTGTATTATTTTACCATGCTACAGAAATTGATTTGATGACATGGCATAATTATGGAAGGTAGTCTCATTTGAGAACATGATAATGGCAACCCTTTTTAAGTTGTAACTTACCAAACAAATTCAAATAAAATGAAAAATAAATTCCATACAATTTTAACAAACAATTATTTTCTAACGCTGAACATTGTTCCCAGGAACTAACTATGGATGTTACAACTTATATTTAAAAGTTTTAAAGGCTTGGATCTTCCAAAAATTAAAAAATATAAATTATTAAGCAATTTATGCCACAGAACACACCCTGTGTGTACATTTTGAAAACTGAATTGGTCTGTTCGCGTAATGCAAGAATATACTATTTTTTACTACGATAATACTTTTTTCCTTTATGACAAAATGTTGTCGAAAAAATTGGAAACATATGACTTGTATAATTATGCCATCGATACTGAAATACGAGGTTGCAAAAAAGTCATAACCCTAATGAGCACACATCCATTAACCACATTTTTTTATTTCTTAAATATTAGTGTCAAAGTTAATTTCGGAATACTTATTAAGGATTGAGTTGGAAAATGTAATTGTGAAAATTGTGCCATATGTTCGCCATTTTGGTACATTTAATCCCCTAAATATTAACCAATCATCTTATTCGGCAGAACACGTAGAGATACCAATTCAGTTTGGTGTTTATAAATTAAAACCATTGGGGCGTGGGAGCGAAAAAAAAATAAAAACGTCGTTAAGTTTGTCCAGTTTGAGCTTTTAATACCTACATTTAAAATCGTTCAGAATTTCCATAAGTGGCGCACTATCCCATGGTCAATTTTTGTAACAATTTATATATTATATATTGCTAGCTCTATCATGATTTCAACACTCTGGCCAAGGTAGTCTCATTTGAGAGTTTGATGTGGCAACCCTTTTTAATTTGGATCTCATCCAAGAACTATTAATAAGGTCACTCAGGTAGCAATCGAAATTGGAAAACAGCTGTTTTTTCTCAAGTCTAATGGTCTCCCTGGGTGACCTTATCTATAGGCCTTGATCTCATCTGTCAATTTGAAATAATATGAAAAATACATTCCATAACATTTTATGTATGTATGTCGATTGGCATATTTTCAATAAATTCAACAATATATATATATAAGTTATAGATGCAGGGAACTTCAAAAATATTTATAAATATAAATGATTTAGCAATTTTTGCCACTGCACACTGATTTACAGTAACTAATATTCGACTACTTTTTTAAATTTTAAATAGAAACCTTCAATTAAATATGAACAATGGTATAATGAAATAGTAGCGATAAATGAGCGTTTGCCAATTTATGACTGAACTAATGATTATTCCATTTAATTCCAAATATTTAAAACTTCCACGGAATATATGGCTTTCCTTATCAACAAAATGAGATATTGTTCTTTGAAACTTATTAGCCTTTGGATTTTTTATTTACAATTCAGTGTAGGTATGTTATTTTGAATTGATTGCATTTCTTTGTATGGTATATTTACTTAAAATGACTTTTTTCAAATATTCTTATAAATTCTCATAAATAAAAAAATTGCAAAAAAGTCATAACCCTAACATACATATGTTGTGTTGTGTGTATTCACCCTAATATACATGTTTGTTTTCATTTTGTCTCCAGCGAACATCTCAAGGAGTTACAAACAAAATTACGAAATGAATATGTCCACAATCTCTCTTAGAGGGTACTTTCAAAAACAACAATTGTATTTTTAAATATGTGTAACTCGGCCTCATACGAACAGAAAAGTACTATGGCAAGTATATACATATGTATACGTACGTAATTCGTTACATACATCTGTGTGTATTAAACTGGTTTCAACACCCAGAATATAAAACTGCACACAAGAACGTGAAATTAAACACTCACCAATCAAATATTGGTCAATATAAATATTTTACTTTTGTTTTTTGCAAAATAGTCAGGCTGAATCCCAGTTTGTTGTTTTTATAAAAAACAACTATTTATTAGTGGGGAATGTATGGCATTGCCCGTCGAGGGGTAAGGCAGGGAAGACTATAGTTTCGGATCTCGCCTGTGATCCTCGTCAGTTCCTTTCGTTTCTTGTTGGGATAATCTCCCCAGAAGCTATTTATTGTTTCTTTACAAAAAACCTTTCATACCCAAATGTCTCTTGTGACAATTCGAAGTTCTTACGTTACCAGCGATACGACCTCAATGAGAAGTTCGTTTCGTTTCGCGCCTGATATTTTACGCATTTCAATTCTATTTGGCCGGTTTTTACATAAAGTACGTTTAGATTACGAAATACTCTCGATCTCAATTCCATAGCGTATACGTCACCTTAATCATGTTCATAAATCCAGTGGATTATTTTTAACGTGTTTGTGGATCGGATTTTGCAAGATTATCAAATAAAATTGTGTTGTGTTTTTTAATTATGAAACAAACAAAAAAAATTGATTTCGTCGTTGGATAAAAGTTTGTTATGTTTTCTAGTTGAATGACTTTTTCGACCAGCAAAAAATGTTTGACATTAAACTTAATATAATATAAACATGTGTTTTACTCTTTTTACCCGAATCATTTAAAATATTTTCAATATATGCCATTAGCAAACAAAATTTCAAACCTTTTATTATTATGCCATGGGTAAAATGTTAAAAATATTTCAAATAAACATAATAAATTGTTGATTTTGTTTTTATTTATTTTGACAAGCATAAAAAATATTAGCATTACCTTTAAACAGCCACTGCTAAATAATATTGACATTATGACTAAATCAGCAAACGCATGCGAGCTTTTATTACTAATCGGCAGTACGACTACATATTCATATTTCGTTGCCGACAAATAATCAGCCGAGGGTTGTTTTTATCTCTGTGTGTTGCCAACGCAGAAATTAGAAAAGTGGCATTTCATTTTGTGTGTTGTTATAAAATTGTAATCAAAAACTGTCAATAATAGTACTAAAAACTAAATTATATATTAAATAATTTTCTTTGTTCGATAAAATAAAATGATCATAATCGCGATTTTTAATTCTCTCTTATAATTTATAACATTTCAATGGGCAACACTGAAATCGAAAATGCTCGGGTTTTGTTTGCTGAAAATCTTGCCATGCAGCCACAGTCAATGTGCTTTTCTTCATTTAAGCTTTGGTCATGGCACAATAAATAGGTAGTCCATTTAGCGCAGTTGATGTCTCCATTAATGTGGATAATTTCTACTTGTATTCGATGTACAATGTTGCCAACCATGTTAAATATTATATGGAAAATTTTGACAGATAATCGAGACAAAAACAAATGTTTTTGTTTTGATACATCACCTTATTATTGCATCATGGCTTTGGTCGCGTTGTCAATTATGTTGTAGTTGTTCATTGATATTTTGTAGCTGCTGACAATATCAAGAAGATTTAGATTTGCTTTCTAAAAATTTGTGTATTGTGTTGCTATTTGTTGCAGTTGTGATTGACTGTGCTGCATATTTTGATGATTAATTTAGCTAGCGATGCGGTAATTTTCGGCGTTTTTGCAATTTTGGCGTTAGCTGTTTAAACTCTGATTTTGACATTATAGTCCGCAATGTAGAGGTGTATTTTCTCTTTGTTGACAAAAGATCTTGTATAAAAATATTACTATTTAAAAATGCATGTCGTCATGTTTTTCAATAATGTAAATTTCCTTCACCAAGCCTTATAAAAAGGTTCAATTTGTAGAAAATTGTCTGAATTGTTTAAACAACGATCTTTACATGTTGTTACCTAAATTCCAACAAGTCGTACAATATTCAACTTCCCCACTATCCCTAAATGTTTTGTACGGCCGTATTACCCAAATACGTCGCATCCATATCTCTTAAGGCCTAAGCAGAAGGCTTGCGTTGAGCGTTTTTTGTTATCGCGTTAACGCACGCAAAAAGTTCAAATATATTTAACTCCGAAGCGCAGCGCACATCAACTTCGAGCGTTTGTGTTAAGGGCTAAGCGTGGTTTTATATTTGTCGGGATCGGGATCGGTGTTGAGAGTTTCTCTCTCTTGAGAGAGTAATTAGAGTTGCGCTATTTTTAATTTTGTAACAAGCGTACTTTTTGTTCACAAAAGGTACGAATTTACATAAACGTACAAAAACAAAAATTAGATTTTTTTATTATTCGTGAATACATTTACGCTTAAATTATAACATATATTA